CCCCCTCCTATACTCCTGCCCCTTGCCTCAACCTGCGGGCAGGAGTCTCCTCCTGTACCCCAGCCCAGTGACAGCGAGTGAGGGTGGTGAAGAGCGAGCCACTGAGGGAAGAGGAATGTAGAGCAGGGAATGGGGCCTTGGGGACAGGAGTGTTTGGTTTTGTGCAATTAAAAAGTTGGCAGTGCTACTCGACTGTGAAAACTGACCACTCATTCCTTCTCTTGACCCGTTACTGATCCATGAGGTCTCCTCCTGTACCCCAGCCCAGTGACAGCGAGTGAGGGTGGTGAAGAGCGAGCCACTGAGGGAAGAGGAATGTAGAGCAGGGAATGGGGCCTTGGGGACAGGAGTGTTTGGTTTTGTGCAATTAAAAAGTTGGCAGTGCTACTCGACTGTGAAAACTGACCACTCATTCCTTCTCTTGACCCGTTACTGATCCATGAGAGCCTTCCCTGTCATCCAATGACGGCTTACTTTCCTTAACAGCCGTTGGGGAGGGCTTTGCAAAAGTTCAAGTACACTCAGTGCCAGGGGTCTCGAACTCCTGGCCCACGGGAAAGACTCTGGCAGGCTGTGTGTGCGCGCTCATGCAGGGGTGTCTGTTACTGGCTCCCAAGCCCCGCCCCTTCCCAACATCACCACCCCTATGGCACCCCATCCGTGGGCGCATTCACTACGCTTCCCCGCATGCTTGTGGACAGAGTGCCATGATGGGGCGATGGCAGGAAGGGGTGTGGCATCTGGCTTGGCTGGGAGTCCTGGGCTGGATTGTGCAATCGGACCAGGTGGGACTGACTTGTGGACCGTGAGTGAGACCGCTATATGCTCTGGATCACCCTTGTCCACATGCTTGTTGCCACCCCCTCCAAGAATTTGAATAGATTGTGTCCACCTGTGCGTCTGATTTTGTACTTCACTGTAGTTTCAACCAAATTGCCTGGTATTTGAGTTAAGCTGACTGGCCTGGAGTTTCTGGGCTCACCTCTGGAGCCTTTTACAGACACTGGTGTCGTAATAACAATCCTCTGGTGCAGAGGCAGATTGAGGTGACCACACGCCCCAGTTAGTCGTTCTGCAGCTTCACATGTGAGTCCCTTCACGATTCGTGGGTGAATCCCATTTGGTTATATTGACCTATTACTGTTTATCAATATGTTCCCAAACCTTCTCTAATGACCCCTAAATAAGCTGCATGTAAATAAGAGCAGAATTCTTGGGGGAAGGAAGGGGAAGCTGAGCACCTCACATACCCCCAACATGCTAACCTGTGTACAATAGAAATAGCTGTAAAGGACTAGATTAGCATAATTAAGCTTGCGACCTAAACCAGACTAGAACCAAGATCAACTGAACCCCACCAAGAAAAATATCATGTTCATCACAACTCCTGTAGAGTCGAAGCATAATTTTTTCCCCTTTTTTTTTTCCTGCCAAGAGGTGTTTGTCTGCACTCATTAACAAGGAGATACTTTACTAATCTTAAAGTGCTCTTTTAAGAATAATGTATGTGACTGTCTGAAAAGTGGTGCCATTCCGCATTCCTCTTGACTGATGCCATCAAAGATCTCTTCCAAGGCAAGCGAAATGGTGCAAAAAGAATGATTTCTGTCCTGCCACCCAAACACATAATTGGCTGAGATCAGGAGACAGAATGACTCATGGATTTTAAAAAAGTTTTTTTTATTTTTAAATTAACTTTTGCTTGAGCATGAACTGTGCAGAAAAGAAAAGAGGCCGACACTGAAATCCAGATGCTGTTCTTCCAGTGCACCCTGCATGGCAGAGGCTGTTCCTTGCAGTGGCAGAGCTAAATGTAGGAACCAGAGAAAGTGGCGCTGATATGGGTATACTGAATATCCATCAGACCCCGGAGCCTGCTGGTTAGCACGTGTCACGAAGACCCGTGGTCTCCTGCAGTTCAAATCAGACGCTCTCGCTGCCAGCGCTGGTTGGATTCCCTGGTATGGGCCAAGATGGCGGCTCTCTTATAAGGTGCTGCTTAAGTGTTGCTCTTCTGACCCTGTGTGGTGGGTAGAGATGGGGCCAAGTCAGGGGGAGCTAGGGCTCTTAGCCCATTAAAGAGGCAGCACATGTCTACAAAGTTTGGCTATGGCTCCGAACTGTCCCAGAGTTCGGCTGTAATGGTTTGGGCCGTGGTAGAGTGCTGCTATTCCTCCGACTTCCTGGTCCCTGCTGATGTTTGCGGGTACAGGTTTGAGGGCCCTTGCAGATGCCGTTTCCCAGCATGCCTTTCTGTACCCTCGCTCTATGGCAGAGTGAAACAGCTACAGGTCGAAGGATGCTTCCTCTCTGTCAGCTGGTAAGCGCTCGCAGCTCCTATTACACTTCCCCTCGCTTTGCCCTGTTTACGCCTGAGCACGTCCTTTCCCAGGGCCTGGTTCCATCACAATGGGGCTGGTCAGAGGCACCCCATGCAAGGGCAGAGTGTGTTTGCCCCTGGCGGAGGGATGCTGTCCCAAGCTTGTTTAACCTGGCAAACCATAGGGGTGGGGAGAGTATAACACTGCACCATTTTGGAAAGAGAAATAACGGCACATCCCAGAGCAGAAACGGGGCCCTTAAGGCACCAGCAGGGGAGCCAGAGCTGTTCAGGGAGAGTTTAGGCTTTTTGGGTCAGATCTGACTCCTACTGGTTGCCTCAGCCTTGAAAATGGGGGTCCCCGTTGTTTAATGGAGACAAAGCGGCTGAAGGAGCTGAACAGCATCTCCCATAAGGTCCTGGGTGAGGCGACATCAGGGGCTGAAGCCAAACCCAGTGATGTGATGTTGCCAGCGGGCAGGGACGACTTATCCAGTAGACACAGTGTCTAGGGCCCATGATACTTTTAGGGGCCCACGAAAATGTTTTAATTTCTTTTAAAATCAGAAAAAAAATCTTTTAGGGTTGAAGAAAATGTTTTAATTTATTTCTCTCACCAGAAAAAAATGAAACTTTTAGGGCTCACAAAAATCTATTAAATTTTGCCTAAAACAGAGAACAAAATAAAATGTTGAAGTATTTAAAGTTATATCAATTTTTTTTTTTTTAATGGAGGAAGGGGCCTATGTAGGCAAAAGAGCCTGGGGCCCAAGAAAGTCATCATGCGGCCCTACCAGCGGGGCTGCACTTGGCCAGCCCAGCTCTCCCGGGTGATCACATACCCTAGGGGAGGGGAATCCCAGAGGCAAACTCCTCTGGTGGAGGGAGACTGAGGGGCCCTGCTGCAGATGAGGTCCCAGCACCGGAGTCTGCCACACTGGAGTCTCCGCCGCTCAGCGCTGGTCCGGACGGGTTTGTGTGTTTTCCCTGAGCTGTCGGGGCTGGAGGCTAAAAATAAACTGAAGCAGAATGTTCTCAGCAGAGCCTTGAGAGTGAAACTATGTGTCTGGCCCTGGCTCCTTGGAAAGAGCAGCTGAGTCGAGGCCCCCACCCGCTCTGCTGATTTGCAAGCTGTATAAGTGAGACTTCAAGAAGCCTTGATGCTCGTTGTGATGCAGAGGCAGGAGCCAGGCAAGACCTCTGGGAAATAGACTTTGCAGTCCCAAGAGGGTGTGGGTGGGGGCAGAGGGGGAGCAGGGGACACAGAGGGCTGTGATCTGCTGTCTGGCTACCTGCTGGGATGGACAAGCTGCCTTCTTGAGAAGAGGAAGGTTTCCGGAGTGGGAGGAAGACCTGGGGGGACGGGGGGGGGGTGTTGGGGAGATAGGGAGGTGTCTGGGGAGGAAGGGAGGGAAGGAAGGACACTTTGGCGGGTGAGAGGTAGGGGGTGGGTCTGTGTGCGTGGGGAGGGAAGGATGCTTTGGCGGGTGAGAGGTATGAAGTCATCTGATTTAATCTGGATTGCAGGTCCCCTTCTAAGCCCCCATGTGGCATTCCAGGGCCAGCGGCTCTTGCTCTGGCTCCCACAAAGTTCTCCCTGGGCCAGCTGCAGCGCGGGATGGCAGGAGTTACTCCCCACCGGAGCACGGTGGTAGGGTTGCCAGGGGTCCGGTTTTGAACTGGACCGTCCAGTATTTGAGCGTTCTGTTCGGGGAAACAAATTGAGAAAGTAGAACAGTCTGGTACTTTCCGGATAAGATGGAATGTAGATTGTGGTGCCATGTCAAGTGTATCCGGTATTTTTGTTGAAACCATCTGGCAACCCTATGTGGTGGGGGGGGGAGGGGGTGTGCACGGCCTGGGCGTGCCCATGGGCCTGGGGGGCGTGGTCCTGGCTGCATGTGTGTCTAGCATGCTGGGCGGAGAGTGGCCTGAGTTATCACGTGGAGTCCATGTTCTGAAGCCCGGGTAGTCCCCGTGGGCCTTTGGTCCTCAATGAACCCTTCCTAGTCGCCATTAAATAAACCGCTTTAATGCTGGAGCCAAGCCTCAGGGCAGTATCTGCTGGACTCTCCTCTCTTGCTGCAGGGTAGAAATGGAGCCACCTCCCCTGCAGCAGAATGAGCTGCCCAAGGACCCGTCTGCTTCGAGACCGGGGGAGCTGGGCTCTGTAATGCCAGCGCAAAGGTTTCGGTCCCTTACTGTGCCACCTTTGAGCTGTTCTTGCTGCCTTTTCTGGCTGCCAGCCGTGGGGGGAGCTTTGCTGGCTTTGGGGAGCATCCTTTGGTCCCTAAGGCAGGGTGGGTTCTAGGTGCCTCGTGGAAGCTCTGATGATGGGATAGATCCCCATCGTCAGGAGCTCAAAGCAGCCGCTTGCCCGGGTGGGAAGGAAGCCCTTTCCGTGGAGCTGTGGCTTTGTGCTGCTCCCTAGGCAGGAGCACGCGTCCGCATGCACGGGGCGGCGTGCAAGGGTGGGTTAGCTTTAAGGGCGTGTGTCTGTGCGTGTCCCTGGACGCGCAGGTCTTTGTTCCCGCAGCGTGAGGCCTGTTTGTGTGGGAGTGCAGGTCTGTTGTGCCCATGAAGGGTTCTATCCCCGTGCATACAGATGGGTGAGTGCACAAATGTCCTTGTGCACACGCATGTTTGTCCTGGAGCGTGCTGCCTCGTGCAACGATGGGTGTGCACGTAAAGCGCCGCCGGGCTGCGTGCCCTCTCGTGCCGTCCCCGAGTTCTCACTCGGATTTGCAGGACAAGCCAAACGACTTGTTAAAGTCACAGCAGCTCCTCTTGGCGCTCAGCCAGCAGGGCTCCCTGGAAGCAGGGTCCCACCTCCCTTCAGCTAGACCGGCAGCGACAGCGTCTTGTCCAGCAGGAGCAGCTTGGGCTGAGCCGAGATCCACAGGTCGTCCTCGCCCTTCTTTTTCCTCTTCTTGTTCCTCTCCGCTTGGACCTTCCTGTTGCTGCCGCTGCCCTGCCGCCGGCTGCAGCAGCAGGCATGGCAGCAGATGAAGAGGAAGATGAGGAGGACGAGGAAGGGCAGCCCGATCAGCACTGCCAGGCAGACGGTATTGAAGACGCCCTCCTGGTGCTTGGTGTGAATGAGTTTCCAGAGGGAGTCGAAGAAGGAGCTGAACTGTTCCATGGTGGCCGGCTGGCTGGGCACCTGTTCTCCTGCCTGGGGCTGGGACGCTCCCCCGGCTCGCAGCCCCCTTGCTCCACGTCGGGCCCTGAGGAAAGGCAAACGGGATCCAGAAGCCGCTCTGGCCAGCACCTGCGAAGACCGAGAACAGAACAGGAAGTCAGGAAACCGCCCTGAAACTCACGTTTGAGCAATGAAGCTTGAATGCTCCTCGTGGGGCTTGCCAGCCCAGTGAGCGCTCAGCCGGCTGCAGCAAGGAGCCTGTAGCCCCCCCAAAAGGGTAACGAGCCAGGTGCTTGGTCTGCAGGACGATGCCCATGGACAACCTCTGCCCAGCAGCGCTGAAGAGCCTCCCACAACCCTCCTGCTTCCAGGTTCCTGAAGAATTCCCCACTGGCCGGAGCAAAGGTGTGAACCCAATGCTGTAGCTGCCTTCCTACAGCTGTTCCTTGCTGGGCCTGTGGCCTCGGGGCTGCTAAGGCTGCGTAGGCCATTCCCACTGCTTCTGCTCAGCCGCAGACTAACCTCCTCCTACAGAGAGAGTGCTCCTTGCGCCATGTTCCCACCCCCCTTCCAGGCCACGGTGAATGGGACCAGGGTCGGGCCTGAAACTCCTGCCTGTGGCAGGGCAGCGAGTGGATGTACGGGTCCGAAGAAACACCAGGGACACTCCATTTGTCAGCTCTAATAAGTTAAAAGCGTGTTTGGATCGTGCCTTTCTCCCGTTTGCCTTGTCACATGGCTCTGTACTTCTGGAGACCCAGAGCAGTGGGAGAGGCTGGGCCCAAGAGGCTTCCTGCCCTGGAGAGTTATCCAAACGTGACCGCTTTACCTGGACTGACCCGTGAGAACTCTGGAGACCTGCGCGTCCCTACGTTGACTATAGGGCGCTGCAGCTGTCTGGGCCACTGACCCTAAGGAAAGGGGGACGCATGTGACGGTGGCTGGGAAAACAAGCTGGCATGGAGGGCCCAATGCAGATGGGGAGGGAGTCTTTCAGGCTGACTGGTCACATGTTGTTACAGAGCTCTCACAAAGCCAATGCCGTGCCAGGTGGGAGTTCTGTTCTCAGGGTTTCTACGCGGCCACCCTCCACAGGAGTGTCAGAGCACCTTGTGGTCATGCATCATGCCACACGACTCTGCATGGGTCACACTTTCTCCTCCTTTCCCCAGCAGAGACCTGTGTGTGGTGCAGTGTTTGGTTTGGCAGGGCTCTCCGAGGCTGGCGAAAGTAGGTTGAAGTGCACCTTTCACTTGGTGTAGAAACTGGCTAGGGACTCCTAGCTAAAGCCTCATCTTGCCACTGGCCACAATGCCTCAATCACACAATGCCACTTCTCTGGCGAGCTCTGAGTCTACACAGTGCCTCTGGGCTGTGGCTGGCCTAGTGGCTTCCAGAATGAGGACTAGAATGTGAGCTCTCCTTTGCAGCATACAGGGTCGCTGTTCCCCCTCTTTTTCCACCCACAGGCAGAATACATTTTGTTGTGTGCACTGAGACAAGTGAAGATGTGCACCACCATATAAACACGCAGATCACACAGAGCCAGCAGCTAATCATCTGAGCAGAACCCAAATCTCTCCTGAGTGCTGTCTACCCTGCACGCTTACTTTGAAATAACTCCTGTTTTGAAATAACAGAGCATGCGTCTACACAGCGAGCCTGGTTACTTCGAAATGACTTTGAAATCTGTCACCCTCATTTCACGAGGAGCCAGGGAAAAGCGTTCCTCCTTTGACTTCCCACTGCAAAGACAACGCCTAAAGCTGAGAAGTTGTTTCAACTTCAGCTACGCAATTAACATAGCTGAAGCTGCGTCTCAACTCGACTCGAGCTCGTAGTGCAGACGTACCCCTGGGGGGCTGCCCAAGTGCTCGGCTTACAGGGATACGTCTGTGCTGCAGTCCAAGGGGTGACTGCAGATGGGACAGAAGGATGGCTAGAAGCGATGGCCCAGGCTAGAAATGCAAGTACAAACCAAGGGTCCAGAGGGCTCACCGAGCATCCGCACAACTATTTCTATCCATTCTGGCCTGGGTAAACAGAACCCAGGTTTGCCTCCCTGAGCTGCAATCGCTGCTTAGCTTGCACACCCACAGCACTTGGACGTTAATGCTGCAAAAGCTGCCCAGCTCTGGCTTTGAACGGGTGACTTTGCAGTTAAAGGCTCTGTAGCCCATTGCTCCTCCCTGAGCCTCTCGCTACCTTTTTAACAGAGCGTTTCTTCTGGTCCAGGCTTCTTGTGCGCTGGATAACGCCTCGCCTCCAAGGAGCCTCTCAGAACAAAGGCTGATGTAACCATGGCATTCCCCTTGCTGTGCACGTAACCGCAGAGCAGAATTCTTGGCAGCACCCCACACCACTTCCCCTTTGTCGGCATGCTGCACTGTTCTCGCCTTGCCTGATCCAGCCCTTACCTCTAGTGGTTACCATCCTGTGCTGTATGGAGGACAGCCAAGCTGCCATGAATCCACAAGGTCTGCTTTCAAGTGATTCCACGAGGCTTGTATTTACCCGGAGGGCTCAGAAGTTGAGCTGGACTAAACTGTTGGGGATGAATTCACTGAAAAGTGCACTTTCCAGGAAACCAAAGCTCCTCTCAGATTTGAGTCGAATGCAATGAATGGTTTTGGGTGGGGGGAGGTGTTAAATTTTTTTCAAGGGGCATTATTAAAACTTCTAATTTCAACTCTTTCTGAACAAAAATGCTGAAACTGTTTTTAATGTCAATTTCAACTAGCATTTTGAGAAGTTTCATTGGATCCAAACAAACTGGTGTGGGGGTGGGTGGGTGTGTGTTTTGTTTTGTCAGTGAGAAACCAAAAAAAAATTCAGTTTTTGGTTCAAAGGTAACCAAACTTTTGTGCATGGATTTTGTGGTTTGGCCACCAAACCCAATTACTCTCGCTCAGTGGCTCTCTACCTTTCCAGACTACTGTATCCCTTTCTGGAGTCTGATTTTTGTCTTGTGTAGCCCCAAGTTACACCTCACTTAAACTACTTACTTCTGTATTTTGTGTCTGATTTTGTAAGTGTCACACATTCTATTACTCATTTTACCATTATAATTATGAATCAATTGGAATATAAATATCATACATACTTCTGTGTAGTCTACAAAGCAGTGTAAACTTCAAGTCACTGTTTGAACTGACTTCACTAATGGTTATGTAGCCTGTTGGAAAAACTGGACACCTGTCTACATAAATTGCATAGGGGTGCATAGACCAGTGGTTCTCAACCAAGGATAGATTTGGGGTGTGTGCGTTCACACATACGGTCCTAGCTCCTGGCATGCCTACAGAATCGTGGACTTTTATTTTAAATCTTACTAGCAGATTAACCCCGTATTGCTGGGGTCCTTAACTAAACTGAGTTTCCTCCCCCTCCCTTTTTTTAATACAAGGAAAACACAAATGCTTTATTTAAATAGTGTTATGAAATTTAATTTTTATTTAGGATTTCTTTAAAAAAAATTCCATCTAATGTTTTTAAATTGGAATTCCGTTGTGGGTGGGTGGGGGTGTGTGTGTGTGTGTGTGTGTGTGTGTGTGTTTTCTTTTCTTTATCCCTGTAAGGTCTAATCCTTGGCTATGCTTTAACAAAAAAGGCTACAGTCAACTTATTGGAAACTAATGTTTTTCTAGTTTTTCCAAAACCTGTAAGTATTGAATTAGTTGGGTCGAAACAGAGCACTACTCCAAATGTCTCCATTTTTATCTCTTTTTGGTAAGGTTTATTGAGAAGCAATCCTATTCCAGATCCATCCTATGTTTCTGTCTCCTCTAGGTTCAGTCTTTTTCGTTCAACATTCGCTCAGTTACGCCAATGTAGAGGACAGTGCTTGATGTGATGGTCCTGTTTGGGTGTGGGGTGGTTTTTTTTTTGGTTGGTTGGTTTTATGAGATGCAATCTCACTTCAGCCGTTTTTCCTGACACAACCAAAACCCCAATCTTTCTTGAAGTCAGGACAAGAGGAAGCTGCATATGAAACATGGTGGTTCTGTCTCTTACCACCTAGGAGGAGTTCTTAGTCAAACAGACAAACTCTCTTTAATATCTAGTAGACTGTCCCTTCTGCTAGGTTAGTGCTGTCTTGCTTGGGCTAACTTGGCAGGTGGAAGGCCTGTGGAAGGCCGCTCAGACAGCAGCTGGGTTCCTGGTGGGCTTGGATGGGGCCTTTCATCACCAGGTCACTGGCTCACATGTTGGGTGGTGACTGACGGGTGTCAGAGGGAGAGTATAACATCCACCTCGCCATGGCAGCTGGGGTCTGGGTCACAGCCCCTACCGCTACCTGTGGTGGACTGCAGAGAGAGCAAAGAAGAGCCGTAGACCCGATTCTCTTCCTAACTCGAGGTGAGCCCAGCAGGCCATAGCCTGATCCAGTGCCCCCTGCAATCAAAGGGAGTCTTGCTGTGGATTTCAGTGGGTGTTGGGGAGTGCCTGGAGGTGGGTGGAAGACGCCTGCCCTTGTGGCTACATTAATAGGACCGAGGCCTCCAGGGAGGCACCTTTCTCCCAGGGCTCTCTTTAAGAAGCGTGCATTTCTCTGACCCAGGGCCAGAGGCAACTGCCGTGACTCGCCTAGCAGTTTGTTGCAAGAGGTGGGTGGGGCTGAGGGGGGAAGAGCAGCATTTTTGTGGCCGTGTGTCAGGCTTTCTTCCTTAGAGTGGGTGAGATGCTGCTGACCTTCAGGTTCCCTCAGGAAACCGACCTTTTCCTGGGGCAAGGCCAGAGGCCTGCCTCTGCCTCTTGGAGCCTGCCCAGGGTCCAAACAAAGCCCATCAGGGTGGTGCTCTATGGGCCTGAGCTGCCTGAAAAGGGGGGGGGCTCGGAAGCTTTGCTGCTCCCCCCCCCCCCAAGGGACCAGCACGAGGAGGATGCTGGGGTTGTGGTTGGGAGAACTGGTGGGTGGCTGAGGGGCTAATAAAGCGGATCGGGCCCTCTCCTAGTGTGTTCCACTCAAGGATCAGACCACACGTGGGGTGTTCTGGGGGGAGGGATAGCTCAGTGGTTTGAGCATTGGCCTGCTAAACCCAGGGTTGTGAGTTCAATCCTCACAGAGGCCATTTAGGAATTTGGGGCAAAAATTTGTCAGGGATGGTACTTGGTCCTGCTGCAAAGGCAGGGGACTGGACTCAATGACCCTTTCA